GATCCACAAGTCAAGACCCATCCAGGTATACTTTGCACTTAAAGACTTGAAACATCACCACCGTGCCTGATCCACCAAGCGTCATATTTGGCCTGGGCCTTGCTGAGACTTTGGGCCTGATCTCTGACCTGCAGAAATGTGACTTGAAGTTTGCGACTCGCTCCCACGGGTTCCATACATACACGTATACAAGATTCACTCACACATATTCATATACATATATAGTTTATATAGTATATATATATAGTTTATATAGTATATATATAGTTTATATAGTGTATATATATATATATGGCTGTGGGATGCTGTGGGTCCAAACCAGGGACCCTGGTTGACTGGATAGGGTTTACGGCTCCTGATCCACAGCCATGCCAAACCCCTTGCCGATGAACCCCCTGCAAATACGAAACTCGTCTGTTGAAATGAAAGTATGGCAGGCCATAACCATAGACAGCGGAAAACACAAGAAACAAAACACAACTACCTCCATAGGTACGCTTCATGGGCTAGCCTAGTGGTTGGGTAAAAAGGGCAATGTGCTTGATCAATGCTTCCGATGGATGGGCATGCAGCCATGCACAATTCCAAACATGGCAATGTGATCAAGAGCATCCAAATGCCTTGAGTGTCAAAGGTTCTTTGAGCAAGGCATTGTGAAAGCCACCCCGAGTGAAAGGTATGCCTTTGGTTTCAGTGGATTTTTTCAAATACGGCTGTCCTGCCCGAATGGCATGCAATGAAGGGACATGTTGGAGTTTACCCCAAGATGGTCGCCTCCACACACCGACTGTGGCCGTACAAGAGGCTGCAAAAGACCTCGGTTTAAGCAAGGAAGGTCTGCGGCAAGAGGTGAATCACAAAAGGTTTGTAACAAATGCTTTAGAGTGTTGCGCCTGTGTTGACCATTGGTCAAAAGCACCCTCCCACATGAAGACTCTAAGCCCGCTCTGATTCTGAATCTCTGTCTGATTCTGAATCTCTGTTCGGGATGGCCCCGCATCTGCACCAAGCCGCCCCAAAAAAGGTGGCTCTGGCGTGTATTGAAGGGTCCCAGCTTTCCATGAACTAGCCGGGAGGCAGTCATCAAAGCTCCCACAAGTTGAAGCTGGTTGACGACCCGATTTTGCATCAGAAAGACCTGCCGCTGCTCCAGCTGTGCTTCTGGAAGCCATTAGGAGGTACAGAACGGACTGTCGCCAAGCTGGTTCAAACTCAACCCCCATTCGTTTGTGATCATCAGCTAGACGCTCCTGAGCGGTGAATTGTAGGCACCGCCCTACACTCACCCCACCCTACTGATCCTTCTGCAGGCTTCATCACGACCAGAATTATACCAACCAACAAGAGGTTGGCAAACTCCTTGTCATTGCCCCCTTTCTCACAATGTCATCTCACCAAACAGTCTTGAATCCTCCAAATTTATCCACATTCCTTGCTTGTCATGTGCCTAGTGAAACATCAGGGTCAAGGAAAAAAATATGTCTGCGTCTGTATGGAGGTGACTCCAAAAAGATTACCTAGGACAGCGAAAGTCCTTCCCGAGAATCAACTTCAGGAGCAGTTATATAACTTCAACTCTCGAGAAATAGGATCGCTTTTCGAAGACTCTGAGAAGACTGCGACCTACTGTGAAGGCAAAAAGACAAACTGAATGAGGTTCAACAGCTGGTGCTGGGCCTCCGCGAAAATAAGGATGAACTTGTTGGCGTTCACTAACATCAAGAAACCTCAGGTGCGAAAATTCAAGATCCCTATTCCCGCATCATTCGAGAGAGATCAGCCAAGATCAAACAGTGTGGCACATGGACTCGACCATCCTTGAACATAGTAAGTAGCAGTTGGAAAAAACATTTCAACTAGCTCCACCCTCCTCATAACCATACTTGTTCCAGCGGATTTCCTTCAGCCCTCGGTTTCCATGCCTCTTGCAACTAACAACCTGCTTAGTGGTTGAAACAAGGCGCTTGTGGCACTGATGAGACTTTGTGCCCACACTCCGGTGTAGCTGATGCAAATGCTCACGATGCAACTGAGCAACACCTTAGTCAGTTAGAGCCCGCTACGCTACTGATCTCAACCCGGCTGTGCGACACTCCACGAAGGGAAGGGGCAGCTCATCAAATGTATAAATACATAATCTTGCTATTATATAAATTGCATTATAACTTATATATATAGCATATTGCTGGGTGTTACATCAATGTGGATCAAACATGCATGTTGTTTTGGCGCTCTTGCAGCAAGGTTGTGACAATCTGTGTTCCTCATGAATACGGTCTATAAGCATCATATCATCACACCCCGGCACCAATACCAGTTCCTCCTCTTGCAGCCAGGCTCACGCAAATCATGCCATCATCGCCTGTGCTCTTGTCGGTTGGTGCCAAAAGCCGCATCGGCATATCTCCAATATTTCAGAAACAGTTCCAAATGCTGTGGATCAAAGGCCTGCGTAGCCCCAAATTAGATCAATATCCTGAGAACATTAAGTTCTTTCCAGCTCCCCGTAGCTTTCACGTATGCAGCGCGTGCAGCGCAGCAACACGGCTACAAGTACTGATATGTTTGATCTGTGTCAGATCTCTGATCTCTTTCTTTCTAGGTCATCAGTTATACGTAGAATAGACTCTCAGGGCCCTACTGACGACCGGACATTCCGTCTTTTTACGACTCCGCATTGCATCTAGCATTGCATGTTGGCGTACTCCAAACCGTAGCAACGACAAACTATCGGTCAGATTTCTGCCTGTGAAACGCGCCAGGCTTGCTTAGTGAGAGTTACGCTTCCACCGGCCGCGGGACGGCCGGATGTTGACATTAGACATTGGTTGCTTTACAACAAGGTTGTTGGTCTAAATGTTAGCCTGATGCCTCTGGCTGACCCAGCTGTGGCTGCTAGCTCCTTCTCACAATTTGACAATATGAATACCATATGACCAACAATAATCATGCTAGCAGTGGAAGCTGGAAGGAAATCGTTCCTGCGATTCCAAAGTCAAAGAACAAGTCAAGTAAGAAGAAACCTTTTTGCAGTGCTGAACGTTTACCATCGGCATTCCCGGACATAGTAAAGCAGCACAGGCACCCCACTCATGGCCCAACGTCCAAATCCTCTACATTCTGCCATTCTACATCTGCAATGTACGCCTCCTGCGACTCTAACATGGAAGTGGGGGCCCCTGGTAATAGGAGCATGGTTTTGTCAGGGGCTGCCTTCCATCATCCAAGTGGCTCAATTTTCGAAGGCTGCTGCTTGCGGACGCTTCGTGCACCAGGGCCATGGTGCCGACCTCTCTACAACCCGTTCAACGAGGGCTTTCGTCGGATAAGCTGCTTGTAAGATCTCTCTATGTGCATGTGTATATATATATATAATATGTATACATGTATGGTTGTGTGTCAAAGCCGAGCATAATTAGACTATTAAGGAGGTCAACCTACCAGGTTTCGAGCTCGGTGTTGACCCACAAACCGTTCTATTCAACACTTTGGCCTTTTCACGTTGTCTAGTCTAGGTGAGGTGGCTACACACTCCGCACTCTCCGGCCGCCAGGCAACCGTTTGATACGCCGTGCTCAGGGAATTAGGCTAGCTTATGATTGCTCTGCTTACGTCATCACGATGAACTGTGTTCATCTATTTTTCACAACCAATCACCCCCTTTGGCACATGCGTAAACCAATCAATCAAAACGTTCCAGAACTACACTCCGCCTTGCAAATGTGTTTTTCGTTGATGTCCGAAGAACCGTCCCCACCTGCACCCTGGTGTCCCAAAACAGAACCCCGCGACACCATGCGAACACCTGTGGTGACCCACCTTCATGACCTCTGGGGTGACCGACCTGAGACATGGATGAGGACCGAGGATGTGACCGAAAACCGGGAGACTCCCCCTGAGTCCTGTCATCGATTTGGACTGAGAGCCCAGTGCTCCACCATGCTCTTTCAAGGCTTTTTAACCATGCGCTCGTGGCGCTCGGGAAACCGGTGAAATGCCAGTGCCGTTGAAAGCCCGAGGGACGACAGCGAAGCCCACCAAGTTGTTGATGAGGGTCACAGCTGCCTTCGACAAGTCCACTGGCTCTTGATCCTCGACAAAGATCCAGCAAAGGCTGCGTGGTACCATTTTGGGGTGAGCCCACCCTAGAAATCTCATGAAATCAAGAGGCCAAAGTGGTGGCTGATGTGTTGTACGTCATTGGCAGTTTGGTGCGTCGTAGTTCTTTGGTTGTCCATGCCATTGGTGTTTTTCACAGCCCAATTTGCGGGGAGCAAATAGGACTGTCCAAACATCGCTGTCCCCACCATCAACCTGGGTGCAGTTTGTGACTTAGGTTTTGATAAAAAGAAGCCCACTAAGGGCCCCTTAAAGGGCCTCTTATTTCCGGTGTTGTTCCAACAACGTCCAGTGTTTTGGGGAGAGCAGGGCCTTCCACCTTGAGACGAAACGTCACTGTTCGGTGGACTGACCGTTAGTTGAACGACGTGCGGAACCTCGAAAACCAAGAGCATGTTGCGGCACCTCTTGTCCTTTTGGGCATGCGGGCATGCTTGTTGCGGCACCTCTTTTCGGAGTCGTTCGAACCGAAGTTAGGGAAAAAAGGCCATGGATGGAGCCCAGCCCTATCTAACTCCAAAACCTTAGAGCTGGAGGATGTTCGGCCAGATTCGGCCTTGGCCAGCATCAGCCTTTGGAGTAGCCGATCACCCAGCGCCTGGGAGCAAACAATGTTCTTGGGATCGACACAGTGTCACAGTTTGATTGCAGTTGCTGGGCCAGATCTCTTTGAGCTCAGTAGTGTCAACATTACCTAGTAAAGTAAAGGCTTCCACTGTCAACATCATCTTGGTGGGAGCCTGCAACATTCCCTCCACAAATTCAGCAATAACCGCAATAGCCATTAGCTTTAATATTGTTGTCCGGGGCCAAGGCTACTGCATGCTATGATATGCCTACAGTTTCCTTGTTCCAACACTCCAACACAAGACTGACGTTGATCAGCCGGCAGCTGAAAACGGTCTCACCATGCCACATGTCACGTCCCTTCTGGCTATTCTGCGGCTATTCTCAATTAAGGTGAAGCGACAGCACTCCCGTCCACTTGTTTGAGCACCTTTTCTCCAGCCATGTCCAGGTGGGTTTGTTTCCAGAGGGTTCCAATTCCATACTTCCATCTCCTCGTGCCACCTGGCGATGTCTAGGTTGACGGCACGCCCGCTGGCCGTGTTTACGCAGAGTTCATAGGACGGGCAAACCAGCAATCGACTCTCTCCACGGAGGAGCTGCATTTCCAGCTGCATCTGCAGCTGGACATGGCTGCATCCTCGTCTGGAAATACTCCGCTGAGGACCCACCGCTGAGGATCTGGACGATCAGGGTGGCGAGAAAAAGCCAGTTCGCCGGTGTTTTCCGTGTCACTTGGCCGGCCAAGTTGGCTTGTAGGTGGTTCAGCTGCTAGTTGCCTCAAGGAAATGTGAACTGCTTCTTCTCTTCAATGACCACCTTGGCTCCAAGAAGACAACTGCACGCTGACAACATCATCAAAACAACCCGTTCTCAGCGCCGCTGTTAGGTAAAAAACAAGTTCCACTTTCACCATCTTTGGCGTATGTGGGATCTGAACCGAGATCCGCAATGGTGCGGACGCGACCTTGGGTCGGGTCTGGATTGCTCCGCATGTTGGTCGAAAATGGTCGAAACGTCGCGCTGGGAATCAGCGCACATGGTCGTCACAGATTGGGACGATTCCAACGCAAAAAAACTACAACGAATTAGAGGAACTGGGTGCGTCGGAGGCAAGGGTGCCCTCTCATCACACATCCAAGCTGCCAAATGTCGTTGAAGTTCCTGGAGCCTGGAATGGACTTCTTCGTCCGCGTACTGCTGCTTTTTCAGCCAGTTCAGATGATCCTTTAGCCTCAGAACAAACATCATGTGCCCTCTGTTCACAGGGCCTGCTGGGACTACTGCGCAGGAAAAACATATGACGCATGAACTGCATCAGAAACACAAACTTATCCTTCGAATGCCTTAGGCTAGGAGGGAATGATTGGTCCTTGATGCTGCCTTGGCAAGAATGTAACAGCACAACAAGTTGCAATCCCTTCATGGGCTTCCGTTTCCTCCCCTAAATTGTCGCACACAGTCCATCGCGGTTGAATCCCGTCCGTCCGACCACCGAACTGTGATGAACTGGGCAATGTTTAACAACCCGCCGTTCAAGGAAACATGAAGAACATCACTGTTTTCGGCCATCATCACAAACAAGTGCACTCACTCGCTTCTTTTCTGGACTCTCTCAGGCTGGCGGGCATGCTGATTTATGCTGATTCAATATAGTGGATTGAGAGTAGATGGCACAGACCCCAAGAGTCAGAGGTGATTTATATGAACCCCCATGTAAAGGACATCTTGAGGTCTGTGCCATCTACTCTCAAACCACTGTAAATGACAATGATTTCTTCCAAAATTCGCTCCAAGCAGCTTGGACTCCTCATGCTCCAGCTGTTTGGCTCTCATGCGGCCAGCTGCCTAGGCGGCTCGGGACTCGGGACGGGCACATGTTCACCACACGGCACGCGGAAGGTGGCGATGCTGACGATGCTGTTCAGAACTCTCGTGAAGGTATCCTTTGAATTGTGCCAACGTACCGCCTCCAGCTACTAGCTAGCCCAGCAGATCACAAGTTCTGCACCAACACACATCCCAAAAACAGGTTGTGTAAGCTCCTTGACCGCATTTTAGACATAGTATTGCCATAGCAATAGGTTGCTTTCCCAAGGTCTGACACCTTCTAAAACACCTGCAGCAACTGCAAACATCGTTGCAGCAAATGAATTTGTTCCAATGACTGGCCAATCAAATACTCACATGCACTCAAACACACGTATATTTCCACAACGTGCGCACCTCACGCCCCTTCTGAAAAAGGGGCGGCAGCATGATTAGCAGGTTGTTGACGTGTGGGAGACAAAAAAATCATTGCTTTAACCCGCAGCCTGCCAAGCACCTGGATGCGAGACATCACTCTTAATTTTATTGTATCCCGCCTCCAGCATGAAGGCCAAGATCCCTGAAGGGCCAATCCAAATTTGACTCAACTGGGTGCTCCCTGCCTGTCCAACGGAAATGGGGTCGGAGGGGTCAAGTGGCCTAAGCAACAATATACATAATATCATATGTGAATGTCCTGTATCGCGTTGTTTCAGCTGATGTTTGTTTTGAGCTTTAATCTCTTTGAGACCAGGGTTTTGGGAGGCACCAAGTTTTCAAAAACGACCAACATTGTCTAACTGCATGGCTGGCCTTGGGTTGGGCGACCTTTCTTTTTCGGGATGTTTTTTTCAACGAGCTTTGTTTGTTGTTTTTCCGCACTATTTGTGGTCAGGGGTTGCCACAAAGAGAAAAGGAAAGAGAACTAGCACAGGAGGCAAGGGACAGCAGAAGGAGAAGAATAAAAGAAATCGGAAAAAGCTAGCATAGGAGGCAAGGAACAGAAGAGCAGAAGGAGAAGGAGAAAAAGGAAAAGGAGGAAAAGAGGGAGGAAGAGAAGGAGAAGGAGAAAGAGAAGGAGAAGGAGAAAAAGAAGGAGACAAAGGAGAGAGGAGAAGGAACAAGAGAAGGAGAAGGTTCTTCCTGCTGCATTCTTGCAGATCACAATGCAGTATCTGAAATATGTAAATGTATGTCCATGCATGCGTATGTATATCTATGTACGTGTATGTATGTAAGTTTGTCTATGTTTGTGTGTGTGAATGTGTGCTTGAACATGTGTGTACTGTATGTATGCATATGTGTATGTGTGTGGGTATGTATGTATGTACGTATGTATGTAGGTATGTATTGTATTGTATTACATTGCATGCATGCTTGCATGTATGTAGTATGTAAGTAAGTAAGTAAGTAAGTAAGTAAGTA